TTTCCTTTTAGTCCCAATCAACTTGGTATCAATGCAGCCGAGATTATTCTGGTGAGAATGAGAGCTTCAACAATAATGCAAGGTCACTCATCCCTGTGGTAGAACAGATAAGACAACCTGATACCCGTGCCAGTGAGAATGACGTTCCTCATCACTCCCTCCCTTGGATACTTCATAGTCCTAATATGCCTGATTCTGAATAAGCGTGTTTATAGATTTACAATGCACAGTGCAAAAGTTTGCACTTTATCAAGTGATGGACTAGAATTGTTGCATCTTGGACATGCAATGGATTATTCTTTTCCTGCTTTCTCATGTTCTGCCCCTGTCTGTGCCCAGAACTTTGGGGTACCTATGGGCAGATCAATCTGAAATCAGTGGCAGATTCTTTGAGTGTATACAAATCAAGGCAGAAAGGCAACTTTCTGCTGAAAGCACAGGCCCTCTGACATGAAAATGGCCTTGGAGATGTCTTCTGCCTTGGGATTCACAGCTGTAGGCAAACTTCTGAGAACTGCATTCCAGTTATTAAGTTTGACATTTTGCAATGCCATGTTGTATGTACGTCTGTGCTTATTTCAATACACAGGAATGAGTGAAGCTGGTTTAATGAGCATTTCTACAATTAATTCTGCCACTAGAACAGGGCTACCAGTGCGATTAGAAAAGCTCCCTCTACATCCCATTAATTTTGATCCTGATTACATGTATGAGTGAATCAAGGTTCTTTTTGTAAGGTGTTTGGGCAAGGCTCTTGTATATTGGTAAACAATTCCACAGAATTGGAATAGGGCCCATGGCACCATTTTCCCACTGCAATTTCTTCCAAATGTTTTGACAAGAAAGATTAAGGTGAGGTTTGCTGACAAGACTGCCGGTGAAGTCTGTCCTAAGAGCTTTGAGTCAAGACAGTGGGAGGCAAGAGGAATCAAGAATAAATGAAAAACAGACCAGCCTTTTCCTGGACCCCCAGAGCTCCAGGATCTCTCATACTTGAAAATGGAAGTTTTGCAGTTCTTCCTTTGCAGCAGCTGAGACAGAAGCAAATTAGCTCAAAAGCCCAAACATGCCCAGTACTACAAGAACATGGAATCTAGAGCTACGCTCTATGGGTAGAATTCTCACATGGCTGAGCCATTCCTTATATAACATCAGAATTGCTTTTTAAAGATATTATTAGGAAGGAACATATGATGCTAACTTATGTGAAGTCAAACCATGAGTCATCAGGCACAATATTGTCAGTTTTGGCCAGCAGCAGCATTCCCCATCTCACAGAGGAGGCCTTCCCAGTTCTGTAAGATGCCAGGAATTGGATCTAAAAGCATGTAAAATATATGCCCTCTCACTGAACTTTAGCCCTTCTCCATGTGCAAAAAGGCAGGCAGGCAGGAGGCAAGAGAAAACTGTCAACCTAGTTCTCTTAATTTGGAATTAAGCAGATCTTTCAGAATTTAGGGGAAAATCTAAAGGAGGAGAAATCCAGAAGCCTCTCTAGTTTATCGCAACCTCACTGGGCATGACCCAACAGTTACAGACATGCACAACTCAGGAAACATGCTGATGCAAAATGAGTTGAATCCTTACCACAGAGATACTGTATTTTTGCTGCATTTCAAAACAAGCCAAAGTAATGGTACCACTGACCCAGCAATAAGAGAGGTGCAGGGTTTCTAATGTGTTGAATAACATACTGGGCTTGCAATCTGATTGCTGAATAGCTCATACCAAAATCAGTCGGAACAGAAGTTTTAACTGAGCAGCTCCTAGCAGGGAACACTGGGCAAAACTGACCAAACGCATACCACAACATGAAACACAGCTGGAAGAGGCACATATCGACTATACAACACCAAAATGTCTTACATGGTGAAAAAATGCAGGCAGCAGGTTGTATGAAGAATTAGCTATTCGGTGTACCATTTCTTGGGTTGGTGTTTGCTGTTTTAGTGTTGTACTTATTAGTCTTCCTCTCTCTCTCCCGCAGATCACAAACCCTGGCTGATGAGAACAGCATGGCGCGAAAGACAACACCACCAGTTACAACAGTTACAGCAGCAGCTCTAGCTGGATGATCGGTCAGTGAGATGCTTGGGGTTTCAAGAGGCCGTCTCATCTTCATTCACATCAGGCAGCTCTGGGTCCTTTACCCCTTCTCGGCTTGCTTGTTTTCTACATATCATCAAGAGGAAGAACATTTCATCAGCGAGATCAAGAAGCAGTACAACAACCCCTGTTGTATGTTACTTGCCTTCATACAAGGGGTTAACTGCAGACACACATACCTTATTGCCGTGTTCTATGTTGTGACCTGTGGTTACAACAATAAACTTATTTACTTACTTATTGCAATGTTTCTCAACCTTGTCAGTTTTAAGATGCGTGGACTTCAACTCCCAGGTTTCTGGGAGTTGAAGTCCATGCATCTTAAAGCTGCCTTGGCTGAGAAACACCACCTTACTGGTTCTACAACTGAAAGGAAATTACATTTGGAGAAGCATGGTGCTGAGAAGGGTGTCATTCAACAGAAAAGCATAGTATTTGAAATCATGAGGACTAGAATCTTCCTTTATTAATATGCTCAGTAGTGGCCATACACTTTGGATCCAGAGGGCTTAACATTCAGTCCCAGACATCTCTGGGTATAGGAAAAACAGCTGTGCCAAAAAATCTGAGGAGTCACAGCCAGTCAGCTGTTGTATTCACATAATACATTTAATTCAGTTACAAAATTAATCCATTTCTTGGACTCACATAATGTACTGAACCATAAAGTTACCAACTGATCTGGATTCACGCAACCCAGCAAGCCACATACACATACACAAAATTAATAATGACAAAGGCCAAGGTTCAGCATATTGTGTAAATGCAGCTGCTCAATTTTTATCTGACCTGGTTAAGCGTGTTGTGTGAACACAGCCAGAATTAAAATACTGAGCTTGATAAATTACACATGACTTGGTGGTATGGTAACACCTTGGTATAGGCCAAGTGCCGTAGTTGGTTTTAAAAGAAGAATGGGATATAATTATGGCAAGGGATCCATCAAGAGTTGCTCAACAGATCAGCTATACTGAAAACCTCCATCTTCAGAGGCAGTCTATCTTAGAATAGCATTTGCTGGAAAGCCACAGCATATAAGAGTTTTTGCTTTTATCCTTCTGGGCTTCCAGGATGCTGGACTAACTGGGCCTTTTCTTCCCACAGAGCCCTTTAGATATTGCTAGGAAAAATATGAGGAAAGAACTGATTTCTACTAAACACCCTCCCCAGCCCTAGCAATAAACCCAGCCTTTGCACCAGATGGCTGACAATCTCTGAAGGTGCTCTCACACAGTTGGAGAATGATGAAACAGTCAGCAGCTGATACAAGTTAATGCAGGGACCGTCGTCAGCTTCCATACATGATGTATAGCCTCAGGCAGGGAGAACAGAAGTGTGTGATCCAGTTGCAGGCCAGCCAGGCAACCTGTGACTGCCTCCTCCACCACCCCTTCAGCTTCGGTGGGCTTGAAATTGAGTTTGAATTGCCTTCTCTGTGCTTTGCAAGGAGACGTCACTGAGTATGTCCATATTAATCCAGTTGGAGAACGCATCCCCCACTGAGTGTTCTCATAAGGCTCACCTTAATCCTAACCTCTCCCTCTCCTGTTGTTTTTCTAAATGGAGAAAAGCCAAAATTTCCTGGGAGTTGTACTGTTTCCAGCTTTTGTCAGGAAGCTCTTCCTATAGTTTGGAAATTCACTTCCCCACTGAAAGGAATTCTTGCTCTGGGCTCAAATCAGCCGACAGGTGCAATGAAGCCTCCCACTCCCACCAACACATAATGCAGATGTTCAACACCAAAACTGTATATGTCTTCTATGAGTGGCAGCTGTCCCCCAAATGGTGGAGATTCTTCCCATCGCCCGTTATCTGCAACTTTTTAAATCAGGGATGCCACGAAACTGAACCAGAAGCCTGCAAGCTGCAAAGCAGGTGCTTTGCAGATGTTCTCAAATACATCAAATCTTGGCAAACGGCTAATCAAAGATGATCCAAGTGTGTGTGCCTGAATCAGTATCTCTAATCATTTTGTTTTTAAAAATGGCAACGGGCAGAAGCCCATGACAACTTTTTTTTAATCCTTCCAAGATGAAAGCCCCAGATTTCTGTTCATCTTTCATCGGCAGCAATAGCGCACGCCAATGGCTTCGGTCCTCAAAGTGTCTAAAGCTCTATCTCCATCACACTGTACAGCCCAAATTGATTGATTATGTGCCATCAAGTTGTTGTTGACTCCTAGTGACCACATACATAGATTTTCTCCATGACAGTCTGCCCCTAACTTGGTCTTTCAGGACTCCCAACGGTGCCCCCATCACCACTGCAACTGAGTCCATCCACCTGGCTGCTGGTCGTCCTCTTCTTCTCTTCCCTTCCACCTTTCCCAGTATTTGAGCCTTCTCCAGAGAGCTGAGTCATTGCATAATGTCCCTGAAGTAGCATAATTTGAGCCTGATCATTTGTCCCTCGACTGAGACCTCTGGGTTGATTTGTTTGATTTGTCTGAGTTGATCCATTGGTTTGCTTTCTTGGCTGTCTCAAGACTTCAACACCAAAGCTCAAAAGTGTCAATATTCTTCCTATCTTGCTTCTTCAAAGTCCAGTTAGCTGCTGGCAAACATTTCACTCCTCAGACCCTTCTCTACTTAGCTTGCTGTGAGAGCCATTTCATGAAATAAAGTAATTGTTCCTCTGATGGCACACTGTTTCCCAGGTGTTAAAACTAATTGCTGGAATTAATGCAGCACTGGCTATGAATCCAGAATAGTCCTAATTAACTGATAAAAGACAGGATGACGTGAGCTCTGAAAACTTCCTGTGTGCAGAGCTCTCCAGAAGCTGCAATGAATCCTTTGTTCTTTATAGCATAGTTTCATTTTTATTGCTGGGGTAGGGAAAAGAACATGACTTAAAAGAAAGTGTTCCTTCCAGATCAAACAAGTACAAAACATTATTGGAACATTATTGTTCCAATTGAACAAAGAGTTCCACATGTCAAGAAATGTCCCAAAACTTCCATTGGGAATGATTCTTGGAAGGGTCTTTGGCTTCATTCATCTTTGTCATTGTAAATTATGGGGCCAAGTAATGTCAACAGCCAGTGGCATTGAAATGCAAAAGCAGAATAACTACTTTGTTTAAAGCCCTACTATGTTGCCTCCCTTTCCTGTAATGTGCTCTCTCTCCATAGCTAAAATGGAAAGCACATTATATAACAGTGTTTCTCAAACTTGGCATGGCTGGCTGGAGAATTCTGGGAGTTGAAGTCCACACCTCTTAAAGTTGCCAAGTTTGAGAAACACTTATATATATGGTAGGGTGTATATTTTCCCCAGTTGTGGGGTGTCAGAAAATGGGAAGGCTTCAGACCTCCCTTGAGTTTGCTGCTGACATAATTGCAATGTGTCCCTTTAGCCTAGGAAAAGGCTAGGAAAAACTGCTGGATCTGGAAGAGGGTTCATGACTGATACACAGCAAATTGAGAAGGCATTCTTGATAGAGATACCCAATTATTCAATTCTGTCTCCATCCGTTGGGACTGGATCTAGTTAGCTTTTAGTGTCAACTAAATGTTTGTCTGCTACAGTTTCCAACCAATTGTGTTCTTATCGTTTAGTGTGTTTGTTTCATTATTGTCATGGTCTTGCACTCTCTTGCTTTATGATTTTTGCTCATTGAATACGATTGTCACTTTTAGCTCTGAGGTTACTTTCAGTGAAAGTAAGTAAGTAAATATGTTGAGAGCAAGCAATTTTCTTCCACAGATCATAGGACTTTAGCCTTAATAGGCTAGCAGGATGGAGCCATACCTGCATGACTCAATTACTTCACTCCTTGTTTGGTAAGGCTCCCTACCAATGCTTTTTTTTTTTTTTAAAGCTGTCTGAGAGGTTTTGTGTTTTTGGAGACCTGGAACTGTATCCAGAGTGTCGCAGCCAAAACCTGGCTCACCTAAAGCAACCAAATCATTTTGAAGATACAACATACATTTATTATGGAGTCCTTAGTGTTCTCTGAGCTTGGTAATTTGTTTGCAGATATTGTATTACCCAACTAGGTAACTTCACCAATGCTAGTGAGTGTGGGGTTTGCTTCCTGTTTATATATGGTATCTCGCCCTGCCAGTGTTGGTGGGGCTGTGGTTTTCTCCTTGGTAGTTCCTTGATCAGGGTATTGTTTTCTGCTTGATTGTTTGCCTGGTGTTTATCCCTGCTTATCTGGGTGTTGGCTGCTGGAGAGGATGTGTTCTGGTCTTTTTGCTTCCTTCTTAGCTTTTTATTGTATCTTTTGAATGGTGTGTAAATATGGTTTATTTCTATGCATCTGTTGATGGCTGATTTGTCTGAATGCCAAGCTTCCAGGAATTCCCTAGTGTTTTTGGTTTTAGCTTGGTCTAGGATGTTCATGGTTTCCCAGTTGAAATTATGGCTGAGTCTGTCCATGTCTTGTGAGATTAAGGAGTTTTCATCGTGTCTTCTGACTACTAGTTGGTATTCATGGATGCACTCTGCTAGCCTTCTGCCTGTCTGTCCTACACAGTGGCTGTTACAGTCCTTACACTGTATGTTGTAGATGAATCCTTTTTTTTTTTTTTT